CTGGCCGATTTTCCTATTTCTTCCTTTATACGACATTTGTAGTGTTATGAGAATCTCCAGTTAATCTTACCATAAATTTGGCAGTTGGTGGCTTGCTAAGAGAAGGTAAGATGTCGCCGGCAGAGGCGGGGATCGGCCGACGCGGGAAACGTCATAGTCACATATTGTGATTGCACCCTAATAATTTAATTTTACCAATTGATTTTCGTATTTATTTGAACATTAGATTGCCTGTACATTTTTAAGCCTTCACACAAAATTTGACACGAATCGATCATAATCAGCGGTAAGAAGCGCGGTGCAAAGATGGAACCGTCCCGCGCCGGCACAGTCTACCATTCAGGCGGCAACGGCCGGCGCCGGCCACCGAGCCGCTCCGGCAGGAATGTTTGACTTTACCCCGCTATTACTAGAAAAGTTGTGGACCGATTTACCTGTTTCTTGCACGGGAGGATTTGCAATTCAATTCTGGATAGATACTGAAAGTTTGACGTTAATATAACAATTATGGCGTGAGTTATTGGCGATAAACAGGTGGAGTTAGCGAAATCGGCCCCTTCCTCCGCCCGTGCTACGTTGCACTACTTGTTGGTATATCATCCAAAGTTATCGTTGGCCCACTCTAATTTTCTCAGCATGTGTGCCTTACGTGTAGTGGAAGACAATATCTAAATTTGAGCAGAATCGAAGGGTACCATTTTTCACAAATTACATTTTAAGAAATTAATTCAAAATGAAATAAATTCAAAATCACCAAAAAATGTAAAAATTGTCAAATTTTACTAGCATAACTCCTTATGTACACGTTTCAGTTTGTTTGACATGGATAGCTTCAAATATGTTGAAGCTATAGATCTTTGAAGATTGCAATACACGTCCAATTCTGCTAAAAAAGCAGAAGTTTAGCGACTTGTATCTCTGTAGCCCGAGGGCATATGACAAAATCCTTTCACCCTCAGAGGTTTCACCCAATAGCCAATAAGTATACCAAGTTTGAACAAAATCGCAGAGGTGGCCGATTTTGGCTGTCCCGGTTGACATGGAATGCCCCGAGAACAGGTGCAACACGGGGATCAGTGACAAGGCGGACCACAGCAGCAGACCGGACCGGACCAGAACACAAACAGCGTGTAATCGGTGACAGGGATTAATGTGGGCCATCCTGCAGCAGGTCGGGAGAACAGGTGCAGCGCTCAGTGTCTGGACAGACCACAGCACACCGGACCAGAACACAAACAGTGGGTACTGGGTGAGCGGTGGCAGGGAGCGCGCCGGTGGACTCCACGTGGAGGGACATTCAGGGTGACGGCTCGGTCGTCAGATCACCTGCGGACGCCCTTCAGTCTGCCGTAGAGACAGACAGCGGCCCGAAGGGTGGCCCAGTTAGCCTCCACCCGTCTGGCGGGCCTGAAACCAGCACATCGCACCTCAGCTACCAACTCAAACACTAACTAACACACTGGCAGATCCAACGAGGAGGGTATTTGGGGCAAACGTCTCCTTACTGCCACTTTGTCCGAAATCGATGAAAATTTGTCGTGTTTTCTTGAATGGAAAAACTTCACAACAGTATCAGGTAATGTTTGCTTTTAACTGCACATCAGTGCATGAGGAGTCAAAATCCGAAAAGTTTTGAAGTTTGGATAAACTTTTTGGGGTATACCCCCCCCCCCCCGCCGCGTCCAAGATCGCCTTTCTGGATCCGCCTATGAAGTAACACCTCAGGACCGGCTTTACCTGGCGAGCGCTTTGTCTTTAACTTGCTTTTAGGGTCCTTATTTTCTCCTTTTAATGCCGTATTACCATGTAAACTGACTGCTCATAATGGCTCGTTGATGAAAGCATGACAGCTGTGCAAGAATTGTTGCATCTTAATTAGGCACTTAAAGTATCGTTCTCCATAAATACGCAGCTTTATTGCATGCCTACCATCGTTTAAACTTTAAAGCATGCGCGTCGGAAAGAAAGAAAGAAAGCGAAGTCAGTAAAAACTAAGTCCAAATTGCAACAAGGATGAACGATACAAAATAAAACGATATGAATTATGATACGATACAATATAAAATTATGTCTATAAGGCAAAACGATACGAAACGATACAAAATGTAATAAGGTATTTGAAATGTGTTGGATGTTTTGTATAAGCATTGCAAATCAAGATATAGAATTAAATATGACAGCCGAAAATTTACCCACCTAAAAATTGAAGCATTGAATGAAGCTACGCAAGAAAAAAAAACACAACACAAAAATATGCCAATATTTTCGAAATTCGTGCTACTGGCCCATCATTTCTGTCATTGCTGATTTTTTTTCTACAAATGATCTCGAAGTTGGCTGGAATGGGAGTGTGTCATGTTGTGAGTTCGCCTGGGCCTACCAATTCCAGCCGGGACGACCATTTTAGTCGGCCCACCCATTCCATCACACCCATCCATCTATAAGCCGTGATTGGGACTGTGTTTTGTCACCAGAAACCGGAGAACCAGCGAGCAATAATGGCCCCTGGCGTCAGATATAGGTCGGAGTCAGTGAGCGGTCAGTACTGGCACAATCACATCGCGAGAGATGGTAACTGACACCGTTCTACTTGTTCGTCGTACCATGACCATGGATACGTGTACACGATACCATACGTGCATTGTCACCATAGGAGAGACATCATGACTATGTAGAATATTTGCACAGATAACTACTGCAAACGTAGACAATGCGCTTATGAATGTGTTTATGAACATTACTTATCAATACATAACATCTACTAGTTAATATTTAGGCACTTTAAATGGCTATTTTAAAAATAAAAATGGACAATATGTGTGCTGTTGTAGCCTACTGTAGCTTTTAGTGCAACGAAAAATACATACCTGTAACTGTTGTGACAGCTTAGGTGTTAGCTGGGACGTAACAACACACACGTAAGTGTATAATTCGGTAGCCAACTTACCAGTGAGAGGGTGACTAGTTATTCTAAAGGCGGGATGAAATATGCGCAACACTACTATACATATAGTCGGGTCTAATGGCAAGGGTAACTGATTGCGAATAGCGATCGCACTATGTATTGAGCTGCCTCGTTATCTGTTTATATCCCCAGCGGCCGAAGCAGTAGCTATAAAAGGTTATTTCCGGGCTTAGAGTCAACAACGTCGCTATCATATAGACATAATTCTAAGATAAAGGTTACTCTAGTGGGGTTCTGTTTAAGAGTTACGCTGTGCGGTGTTGTTTAGAGGGTGCTGGTACGAGTCTGGCGGCACGGCCACAGGCGAAAGGCCACATGCAGATGTGTCTCACATGATTTGTGAGTCGGAGTGTCTCCGAGAGCAGTCTTGTTTGGGAAGTGTCAGCATGTTCTTCAGGGAATTACACCGATGAACGAAAGCCAGGCTGAAATGTTGCAAAATATTGCGACGTGGTCAATTGCAATTAACTGATAGGTTTTATCATTAAAGGTAGTCATCAGGGGCTGACTGTGGCCTTCCATGACCTAAGAATGGCCTTGACCTTACCTAAGTGCCGAATTTCGATTTGAAAGCTTACATGTATACTACATACTTTGAGAGGTAGCATGGCGCACAAATTTAAGTGGAAATCTGACTCGTCAAAATGCATAGGGGAGACCCGGGAGGTATGGGCCGGTTTTGTGAAAAGGCAATTTTCTTCCAGTGGGCAGTGGCTAGACCCGGTTTTTCACTCTGTGCACGTGAAATTGCCTTTTGCCTGCAAAGTGTGCCTGGTATTAGGCATCTGGGATCAACTATTTTGTCTCGAGATAACTTTCAATAAAAAATGTGCTTTTTCGATCCATCAAAATACACCGGGAGGTATATGGGCCATGGCCTGGGAGGTATGGGCCGGTGCCCGGTACCATGTTTCATATTCTTTTCTCGACTATGAGAACAATACTCGTAGCTGGTATCTACCTTGATCTCTCTTAGAGCCCAGGAACTGCATAGGCGGCCAACAGCTTATTTCATGGAGGTCACTTGGGCACATATGTATTTTGGTAAGCTCAATCATGCACCATGAAATAAAATAAATAATATTTTTCTGTTCGAATGAAATTTGAAGTTAAATTTTCAACCTTGCGCGACAAAAGTTTTTTTTTGAAGATGACACTCAATGAAAGCATCTTTTTATTGAATTAGGATCAACGGGGGTGGGTGGCCCGAACCCCCCTGTTAGGACGCCAGAATTTGCGCAGCATCTCAGCTCATAATCTTGCAAGAAAGCTTCAAATTGTCTATTCAGTCTTAATTTGCATGCTTTAAACTTAATGGTAGCATTGGTCTGACGTCATAAAACGAGTCTGGTTCAACTTTATCACGAATTTTCTGTATGTACAGTATTTTACTCGAAGAGGGCAAAAACGCTTTATAACCGCTTATTGCCAAAGGTGACTGAGGAAGATTTTGAAAATCACGTGGGTTGTATAACGGAATTGCTGCTACCAGTTTACGCGGTCAAATGTGTAAAAATACGCAACACCTCTTCAAAACTGCGATGGCCGATGGCCCATACCTCCAGGGGGCCCATACCTCCCGGGTCTCACCTATTTCACATATGCTTCACTGGACACATGCTCAGACATTTACCCGAGTCTTTGTCTTTTTGAGATGTTCACTAATCTTAATATTTTTGTTAGAAATTTTGACCAAGAATTACTGTGACCAGCTAGCGTGGTTTTGGTGCAAAGGGTTTATAGCAAATAGCTGGCGCTACAATAGCTAGTAGCGGGGACTGAAGCGGAGATCTACCCATCCCCTGTAGCGTGGCATGCGCTCGTCTTGCGCGCCGATACAGCGGTGGATTCCCTCAAAAAGAGCGTTTTGTAGTTTATGTATAATGTTATTTGCAGCAGTAAGTCCAGGAGTTGCGACTGACTGGGACTGTCAGATATGCTGTAAGTACCACTGACTGGTGGCACTGACCGTAAGCACCGACCGTTTGGTTGCACCGGATGCTAATGACAAACCAGTTATGGTACGGGCACTGACCGTGTGGGACTGGAGTGTGCCGAGGAGAGCGGAGAGCGGTCCCCATTGTCGCTGTCAGTGGCCGGCTTCAGCAGCTCGGCATCGGCGCCTGCCCTGCGGACGGGTGTCAGCGGCTCCGGGGGCGGGCAGACGGGCAGCGGCGGCTGCGACACGGAAAAGTCCTCCACCTGCCGGTCAGACGCGACATAGCCAGGGGACGGTCACGGGCGGTATAGCATAACCGACTGACCAATGGCACGGAAACTGATACCTAATAACACGGCGGGGGGACGGTCTTAGGATAGAAGAACAGTAGAAAACAATGCAGTTTGCCGTAGAGGAACGGCCTTACCGCTTTTTACATGGATGTCAGTTTGCAGGGATTTGGCTAGTTTCATATCCGTAAGAAACAATTAAGGAGAATGCATAGGCTTGTTTAATTTATAAACTGCTATGCAACTCGTCCTCCGCAATTTCAATTTCAGACATTCAGTAAACAGCACAGAGGCTACGGTTAAGTAAACACCACAACTTTTTCTTTAAAGTTTTCAAACCTGTTCGTCTGGCGAATATTTGTTTAAGTGTTATGCTTCTGTGGACTTGTAATACATCTGGGTGTTTGCAAGGGCCTTTGAAGCGTTTATCCAAAGTCCGACAAAAGTTAAAGAGTCTAAACGTTTGGTGGAGCACCTGTTACAGCCATAAGCACCTCAGTGCTAGTTTTATCTTGGACGGTAAGCATCTTTCTATTAAAGTTAGACGTTAGTACAGCGTTGTTTTTAAACATACCTATTATATTTAATAATGAAGCATAGTGGAGGCATCTATTTCCATTCCAATTGAGGGTAACTATATGTTCAAATAAATGACAATATCATGCAAGGAAAGGGAGACGAGCTGGCAACGAAAACATTGCTCCATGGCGGCGCCTGCCACTTCATGTAGCGGCACGAGCGCATCCGGCTCCTGAGGCCTGAGCCGACCGGTAATTGGCGAGAGCGCGACTTGAGGCGCCCCCGCTCTCCCCGTTCGACCCCGCAGATTGGGATGGCTGCGGCAATGACGACATTCGTGTTAGAGGAGAAATGAAGTCGATTGGTGTGGGGGTTAGGATGCCGTATTCGACCACGCGGAAAGGTCAGTGGTTGAACTCGGTCTCTACCTCGACCTCAACTTTACTCAACCGTCTACAGAGAAATTGTCAACCGCGTTTTAGGTCATGATTTGGGTATCAGGCTCGCTTGAAGGTTTCGACATCAGAAATTCGCCCACTTAACTACTTGGATTGAAATGAGCGTCTCGCAGAATACATTACTACACCTAATTTTGAACTACTGATCGACTGGCGCCCGAAATAGCTGGTTCGGGTGCTGTTCGGTTGTGGCCAGGACGGCCTCTTCGGGGCTGTTTCGGGATTTTAACTGTAGATGAGCAGTGGCGTAGGCCGGGAAGGCCCTGGTGTCTGCGACTGCAACACCCCCGGTGAGAGAGACCGCAGAAACACCCGCTGTGTTTGTGGCCGCAGAAACGCCATTTGTGTCTGTAACTCCAGTGATACCAGCTACTGTCCGAGTATGACTGCTGTTCTCGCAGTGTCTGAGATCGCGGTAAACTATATAGCTCTCCCTGTGACCGCAGTAAATTCGCTGTGCCTGTGACTGCAGTAGCAACTGCTGTGCCTATGACTGCAGTAACAATCTCTGTGTCTATGACTGCAGTAACACCCGCTACTAACGGCGTGTGTGTGGTGTTGACGGCTGCCGCTGCCAGCCCGGCTGGTGGCCGGCAGGGCCGTTCGACGCACCTGACTGCCGCTGATGATGCTAAGCGTCGAACGTTTGTCCAACTCGAGCTGAGCGCGCCGGTCACGGGGGCGGCACGGCGGACGGAACAGCGACGGAAACCGGTACATGGAGCCGCCACGGGCCACGACTGGCCGACGGCCCAGAGGTCGCCGGGGCGGCCGCGAACGGCGGGCGCGCGCAGCCGACTGCCGCGACCGACGAGCCTCCGCCTCCGCCAACCGCCCCGCCGCGCCGGCCAGATATGCCGGGCACGCGTGCTCCATTCGAGGAAACATCAACAGATCAAATCAGTAATCACCCATTGGAGTAACCGTTTAACATGTCGAATCGCGTTACTGTAGGAATTAGGGTGGCAATCTTGGCGCATACACATTCGGTGTCCTGAAAGAATGATGCATCTTTTTTCTCTCTCTCTCTCCAAGTTAACTTTTGAGGCTGAAATATAGTATTAAAAAAATGTCCTGCCTTCGTCTGGTAAGAATGGAACTTAGTCGTTCGTCACTGCATTTTCTTCGCTTTACCTGAAAACTGTATGGATATACTGGATAGATAGACTGGAAATAGTGACATCCGAGTTCACCGTTTTAGACCAAATAGGGTCTGCGATGAAAAGCTGTCACACGTCAAATACGCACACGTCACATCGTACGTATACGCCGTCAAGTACTGCAGATGACGATGTGTTTGTAAAGAAAGCAGAATTGTTATCTCTATAAACCAGAGCTGCGACGTCAGTAACTTTTTTGGTGACCCCAGCTCCGACTGCGACTTTGGCCTCAAAAATCGACTCCAACTCCAGCTCAGACTCTGGGTATTTCTCTTTAATTAAGTTCATATCATGAAAGAAAAATTCATGCCGGAGCTCTTTTTATCTCGTTTGAAGCAACTAGCCTTTACGCATTGTAAGGTCTAGCACCTCAAAGATATAGGCATGCCTCGTAAGTTGTAAAGCTAAAAGAAAATTCTGACGCAGCCGCCGTCATCTGCTTTTTTCACTGAAAACACTGGTCTAAAACAGAAGTATGAGCTTAGCCTCGACAAAATGTGTTTTGGAAAGGTCATCCATCGTAATATCGTAATATCTAAAGCAAACAGATTTAATTAAGGAGTGACCATGCATTGTTGACTCCGACTCGGACTTCGCAGCCGTGCTATAAGCTGTATGTACATACCAAACTTTTGTTCCAACCCCTTTCCTGACGACAATTCTGGTTTGGGTTGCAGGTTAAATGACCCAAACATACCTAATACCGTATACCTCCTGTGAACAACAAGCCACTTGTGATCGCAGTTTTTTGTAACACCCTTGCATTTCTGCTTTGGAAAAAAATGAGATGCATTAGCTCTTCAGAGGATGTCTGTTTTAGCATATTATTATAGACTTCGAAAGTCTCATGATCATACTTTCTATCGATATGCATTAATCAGGAACTGAAGCCAATCCTACACCAGTAGGTAATACCTTCCCGCAGAAGCGCAGACATCCAAGCCGTCAGATATAATGAAACTCGCAGTTGGCCTCAAGGTGCCCAGTTATGGTTAATATCCTAAAATGGAATTTCATTATACATACGTGTCGTCTCGATGAAAGGGAATGAGTCTATCTTTTAGAGAAAAAAGAAACTGAAAGCAGTAATAACGCTGGACGTTGTCGGCTACATGGCTTCGCAAGTGAGGCTATTTGGCCACCTTGCAGGTCTTTGAAATGCGTCACAATTTTAGCATAGGTATTTGTTCTGCCATTTTAGTTTTACTCACAAAGAAATTATTAAATGCCCATGCATACCTACTCCTCTATCTCGAGGCTTGAAGACGGTTGAGCTTCCATTACAGTCCCTCCGCCGGGCTGCCGCTCGCTGGTGACAGCGTCGCCTAGCAACAGCGGGACAGCCTACCCCCGGAGGCGTCAGCTGACCTTGACCGGCCGGTCGGCCGCGGGCGAGGCGGCAGGCATACGAGGCGGAGGGAGGTCGCAGACTCACCGCTATTGCGCCGGGCTATTAGGCTATTAGCTACTTTTTGTTGCGTTTCATCAGTGGCTTCGGCTAAAGAGGGTTGAATGCGGTTTTATGCGCACAGTCGATTAATAAATTGATGTTTCGTGTTGAAACGGACATAATGGAACAAATGGTAGCTGAAAAACTTTGAGAGCATGGCTTTAGAAATAGCATTTCTAATTAAGCTGAACGAGCATCTAAAACAATTATGCATAGCAGTTTTCACTGTCAACATACCCATGGATGCATTCGATCAATAAACGGCACTTCCTATGACCATTGGAACTATAAACTGCGAGGCAAAATTTTTGGCCAGCAATAACAAAAGTCACGCCTGTCGTTTTCACCACTTCAGACTTAACATGTGCCTAATGATGAAGTTTTTTTTTTCGTTTCTTTTCTAATAAAGAAAGTCCGTCTCCGTCTCGGGCACTGCTCGACCGGGGGGACGATACAGCGAGCCGCAGATGAATTATCGTTTGCCGTCGGGCTTCACCACAGCCTGCACGCCCCACAGGTCATCGCGATCGGCTACTGGACGCGGGTGCGGCTGTGTTCCGTGGTGATACGCTCTAGCCGTCTCGGCTGGCGGGTAACCTCACCACGGCTGTCGTCGGGTCGATCGGCCTAGAAGACAGAGGTCAGTAAAAGTTTCAAACTTCAGGCACTGGCTGGGAGAAGATGTTCATCTTGTTTGGAGAAAGAAAACACATTTTCATAAGAAAACAAATACCAGCCACAACCACACAAAAGTTCTCCTTTTTTAGTGATGGTAAAACTGGCTCCGGGCGAAATAAAGTATAAACTAATTTTGAAGTCAAAATCAGATACACACCTTCATCCCATCCAGCCTGGAAAAGTATCAAAACACGAGCTCCTTGGGACGGCCAGGAATCTGTGAAAAGCTACCTCTGTAAAAAGCTACCCCCCCCCCCCCAGTCATGCGCAGGTTAATCAGATCAATACAGTGTGTCATGCGTTACGTCATGCATGATTGCAATGTTGAGTTAGTGCTTAGAGTGACAGAGCTGGGGCATTCCAGGACGATTCAACAGGTGCATAACACCCGACCCCCTCAGATTTGCTTCTAAATTGCTGTACAGGGTTATTCTGTGCCCAGAAGCCGAATCTGAAATTGTCAGACCCGTAGAAGCAACAGTTTTTGAGTTATAGTATTGGGAAATTTTGGAAAGTTAAAAAACATCATTGTATTTTAGTAGCTATATCTCTTCGAAAACTTTTATTAAACTATAAAAATTATACATATTTGAACTCGCCACATCACAAGCTTTCTGATGGTATGCAAAAATTTTCAAAATTTTGAATTTTTAATTTTCCGAAAATTGTTCAAAAATTTATTTCAAATTTTTCAAAGTGTGGCCAGTTAAATACAATTTATTTTTTTAGCTTTTATTAATGCTTAGGGTATTGGAAAACTATGTTGTGAAAATTGGAGATAGGTATTTTTTATAAATATTTTATTTTATTTTTTTACTTTCTCAATGTAAATATACCATTTTGCTTTGATATGGTGCCGACGGTGCTATCTCGGGAACGGATGATCGTAGCGCGCCGGATGAGGCGGCAATGGAAAGATCTCAACGAGATGGATCTAGACATTGTCCGAATGTTGTTCTTAAAGGTCACGGGTCAGGTCAAGGTCAGGTCAAAGACCAAAATTCCAGGTTCTCATTCCCCGGCTGCTCCTGAGGCACTTTCATAATGATGAAGCGATGTGAAAATCGCACAGCATGCGTCCAACATATTTATAAAGGCGGTGAATCAGTAAATATGCAATCACAAGGTGAGGTCAAGGTCAAAATCAGGTCACGAAAGGTCATGATGAATAAACAGGGATTAGGGACATGCGACACATGTTTTATGGGTTATTTTTCGATTCCAAGTCAATGGTGATGGGCATTTGACCATTCGGGACCAAATCAGGTCAGATTAGGCCAATGCCAAGGTCAATGTGTAAAGTTGCTGTTTCTATGTCGGCATTAAAATACCTACCTAATAAAATTGTATGATATATTGTGATATACATATATATTTATATGATATATATATATATATATATATATATATATATATATATATATATATATATATATATATATATATATATATATATATATATATATATATATATATATATATATATATATATATATATATATATATATATATATATATATATATATATATATATATATATATATATATATATATGATAAATTGTATGATATATACTAGAGTAATGAGTGAAATGAAATGAATAATTTTTACATTTGTCTCCGTTTCCAAATTTCCATTTGGCCCATCCCGACACCTATCGCTATATCATCTGCGCCTGTGACAGACCAGTCACTGCGGGCTCGGCTTGCTCGAATGAGCCTTGGCGCGGTGACAGACGACGCGCCGGTCCATGCGGTCAAAACAGCACAATAAAATCATCGGGTGCCATAAATCGACCACGCAGTATGTGACACTGAGAATGAAGAATGCATGACGGGAATGTGTCAGGATTGCCCTGGCGAGGCTGGTGTTGACACGTTCTTGAGCCTCGTCCTCCACGACGAGGAGTGTGTGACCATGGACCATATGTATAAACAGTGGGTTAGCACCGACCGGTGTGAGCTTATTGATGTGCGAAAGGACTGGGATGATTTCATTCACGATCTAGCTGTGTCAGTGGTGAAGCTCACCAACCATCACTATGTAGCAATCCGACAGAGTAGGGCATTTAAGGAGTGTAAAGAAAGTGTTGTGGAGGGAGAGGCCGTTGTCGTTGACGACTTCAGTGAGAACTATACGTTCGTCATACAGGATGAGGTGCAGAGTCATCACTGGGACGCGCCACAGTGCACCGTTCACCCGTTCGTGGTGTACTGGAGGGAGAATGGAGAGGGACAGCACCAGAGCTTCTGCATTATCTCAGATAATCTAAAGCACAACACGACCGCTGTCCATGCTTTCCAAAAGGCTCTGATTCCACGACTGAAGGAAAAAATTCCGTCTTTGACTAAAATCAGATACTTTTCAGACGGCTCAGCAGCACAGTACAAAAACCGCTTCAACTTTTCAAATATCTGCGCTCACAAAAGTGACTT